ATATTTTTCCATAAATTTGATTTAAATTACAATTGCGCGTTTGTTAACTTAAAATTAATAACCAATTGTATTAAATCTTTAATTAATTATCCCCGTCATTAAATATATATAAAAAGGAGAGAGAGAGAGAGATAATAATATCTCTATCATTTCAATTATTTGTTAGATAGAAACTTGCAATCCAACATTTTTATTATTTAGTTAATAATTTTTTTTTCTAAAATATGATTAAATTACTATGGTTTGATAACTTTAGAAATAATGATGATTTTTGGAGCATATCATCATGTTTAAAATGTGCTCCTAATTTTGAACGATTTCATATGTTTTTTGAGATACATTATTGATTGGGAAACATTATAATGATTGATGATGAATGAGATGTATTATTGCTTAGGCTATATAATTTAAAATTGTTTAAACATTTATGGCCACATATGATTTATCTTGCAATACATAAATTAATTTTATTGAAATATAAATTTATCATGGCTCAATTTTTATTAGCACTTCATTTCAACAATATAATTAATTTAATCAAATAAATTATTTTTACATATGGACTTCCAATGCTTTAATTGTCGGAGTTTCGTAACTATTAAATCAAGTAGGATTAGAATTTGAGAACTCGATAACACTTAGTTAAACAATAGCCAAAGTAACTAATAATCGGGCTAAGAAAGGTGCCTGGTTTAAGTAGCATTTGTCTGTCTCTCTAAAAGCTACTAGCTGGAAAAACAACATCCTACCAATATTTATTATAAATCATAGCTTCAAGAATAATTGCAATCTCCGAAATATAATTGTGGCTAATCCATTATTCTCATAATTATATAAATTAAACATGAGTGACACTCCACTTATAGCCCCAATCATCTTCAAATATTAGTAATTGAATATACCATATACTTCAATTTGACATTTAATCAACATCGCTTAGTGTAAAATCTATCTTTTACAAAAAAACAAATGGTTATTTAATATTTTTAATTAACATGAAATGATTATGTTCGAATACAAGTACATAACTATTTAATAAGCTATCAAAAAATAAAGTGTTTAATATCCGACCTTAGCTCAGTTGGCAGAGCGGAGGACTGTAGTCTCGACAGATATCCTTAGGTCGCTGGTTCGAATCGGGCAGGTCGGAAACAGTTTTTGTAGCCTTTTGGAACAAAAATAATTGGGAAAACTTTTTGCATTTTTTTTAGTAAGTTAAAATATTTTGAAAATACTTAAATTAATTTTATAATATTTTGAAACCACCGTATAATTAAAAAATTAAAATTATCTCGAGCATCTCTTAAGTTTTAAGTTTCTTAATTTTTATCAAAAAAATATATTTTAGATGACGAATAAAAGTGACTTCTCTTATTTTTTTATTTGTTTCATTATTTATATACATAAAACGAATTTTGGGCAAATAATATGACAAATAGCATTCCTCTTTATTTTTTATATTGCCACTTAAGATATAATCTGAACAATATTTACAATAGAATTTATATAACATAGTAGTGCATGTCTTACCAAAGAGTAATCAATAACACTAAGAAAAAAAAAATGCAATGTAAAAAAAAAAATACTATGAAATTATTTTGATGAATGTAAAATAAATGCATGTGAATATATTTTTTTATTTAGTTTAGGGTTTAAGGTGTGATGAAAAATTCAAAGATGGTGGTGGCCAATAACAGTCAATGCCGATGGCCAGCGATTGGCTGGGGCAACGGCCGACGACGATGATGGCTTATGATGGGTGGCGACGGCTGGCAGTGGTGGCGGCAATGACTGACGGTGATGTTGATCGATGATAGCCGACAACAACGGTGGTGAGCGGCAACCAATCGATCTTGCTTGTGACGTAAACAATTTTTGCTCAAAACTAAGGGAGTTTGATTTACTATAAAAATTAATCTAAAATAATATACACTACATTTATTTTATTTTGCATTCCTTTTGCATCGAACCAAACATCAATATTTTCAAAACCTCTGATTTTAAAATATTGTACACCACTTTGTATTCCAACCAATCGAACAGCCCCTAAAAAATAACAAAATATTGCAAATCCAACATTGTAAACAATTTTTTAGATTATAGAAGTGAGTTTTAGAAGAACATATGCCGATGCAATGGAGTTGTTTTTTAAAACAATTTTTTATTTAAAAAATATTTGAAATAATTTTTTTTGTACTAAAAAATTATTTTAAAAACAATAAAAAAGTTGCCCCAACGAAGTCTATTACTCCCCTCTTATGAGAGATTACTCTGTGCAGACGCCGAACGCAACTCTACATCTGGAGGCGAATCAGTTGCAACCACATCAACGGTACCGAGCAATACCAAGCCGCAGTACCGAGCGAAGGAAAGATGTGGCGCATTGTGATTGGTCTCCGAACGACGTTCGACATCCGCACATAATAATTTTTATAAGAACACTCAACCATGGTCAATGCCTTAGGAACACCCGAGGCCTGGAGAACTTGCTCGATCAGAAAGGCTAGCGAAGGAATTTCCTGGTAAAAATGAATATAAATTAATTGCAAATAACTTAAATTTTGTGTATATAATTTAAATAAAGTATAAATTAATAAAGAATCTTCTAATTTATATTAAACTATTAAAATTGAGATTTTAATTTAAGAATATTTTTACATTTTTTGAAATCAACTTGTGATTGAAAAATATTTGTACGCAAAATTATATAAAGCTGAATTTTATTAAGACATGCATAAAGCATATCTCAAATAGTTACCAAATTAATATATTAAATGATGCTTACTAAATTCTAAACTATAATCATCTGCATAGTTTATCTTGCTTCAGAAGAATATAATAGAGAGAAAAAGATTCATTTAGTCAACCTCGTTAGTGGAATAAAAACTTGATATTATTGTAGCAGCGATTTTAAATCTTTAACTACCCAAAATTTAACGTAATAATAAAAACATACATGATAAAAATTAACTTTATTCTTCTAAATAAATAATACTTTATCTCTCGACACATCACCAAAAATTGTCTTGATCTGGCATGAAACTTGATGAATATTTGAATTGAAAACTTCAAATTTTAAATTTAGAATCATCAAGATTCTAATTTCATCAAATTTATAATTGAACAAAATATCTCGATAAGACAAATCCAATATTATCAAAAATAACCCAATCTGAGGGCCTGAATGAGCCCAAACCAAGGGCCAGATACATAATTGAAAAATTCAAGACATTAATTGGATGATCAAATGATTTTCAAATTTGACATGTTTATAGATGACGAATCGAGCGTTTCGACGAAACAAATCCAACAACTCTAAAATCGCTCAATTCTGACAACATTATGGTAGTTAAATGTTAAACAAATACTCTATAATAAAGAGAATCAATATGAACCATATGATAAAGTGCTTCAGCTTCTTACCATATTTATGGGCATGCCACTCTAAAAAACCTATAAATATGCCACTGTTTACTACATGAGGGGGGATTTGAAGCTTAGATTTTGGCTTGAGATATAAGGGAGCTTTGAGGTTCTAAGGATACGGGAACACCACAACAGGATCAATGACCAATTGTCATCATTGAAGCAACCATCTAACCGTCGTCATTAGGCCAATGATTGATCATGCTATCAAGTCAACGCATTACTATCTAGTTGGACAATCGCCCAACGCCATCATTGGACCACACCCAATCTTCATAATTGGAACATCACTTGATACAACCATCGTCGCCCAATTATGATCCTCCAACCATCATTGCCCTACTAGAGTCCTCCGATAACTATCACCGAGTACCCGACTATGATCCCTGGGACCTTCATGCAAGCCAACTACAATCCTCTGCCCTCTAACCTTCGTCACCTAACAACTACAGTCCTTCGACCATTGTCACCCACATACTACAATCGTCGGAATAATTTTATAATATTTACAATCTAAATGATCTAATTTTCTTATAAGAAAATAATCAAATTGGGTTTAACTATATCCATTTTAATAAGATATTAGCAATTAGAAAAAAAAATCAAATATGGTCTTATCACCTTCATTTGTCGTTCCAAATTCATAGCCGTCATGAATTTAAAATCATCTATCTCTCTACCAACATATCTATTTAAATCTCCTCTAATAAAAACTCTTTGTTTAAGAGATATCTTATATATTAATTTTTCTAAGTCAATTCAAAATTTTAATTTTGAACTCATAAGTGTGAATTTTAAATAGCAAATGAGATAATTTTAAACATTATATAGCAAATGCACTCGCAAGTGATTGATTGTACCAATAAAAGTTACTTCACAAATTTACATGTCTTGTTGACTAAAATAATTACAGAAGCAAACACATTGTGAATTTTCATGTTTTATAAACACTTATAGTTTGATGTACGTCTGTTATGTGGTAATTAAAGAGGAAATTCATAATTACTATTAACCCATTTCATAACAGTTCGAAGGACACGTCGTTCTATCGATCTCTGCAACCAATTGAAGGAAACTTCGAAGCTTTTTCCAAAGCAAAGCATCAAACTAATCTCCACCGTACATACGATTTTACAGACAAACTCAAACCGAGGTACAGATACGTACAAACAGCCCACGAGAGTCCCGCTGGTTTATGAACGCAAGCCCTTCATGAAACTCTGGGTTTAGGGTGTTCTTCATTAGCATGACTGCATGACTACCAGGTTAAGTTTTTACGATACATTCATATTTCTTCATCTTTATTTAAGGTATACAGTTCATGGTAGATTTCAACACTAATGTCTCGTTTGCGACGATTTTTTAATTGTTTTTTAAAATTATTTTTTAATGCAAAATTTTTTATTTTTATATTAAAAAATTGTTTTAAAAAGCATAAAGAAAACCTTTCCAAACAAAACCTAAAGCAATGTGAATTACTGCTTGAATATAGAAGGCTAGCAAGCTACCTAATAGCGCATATATTCCCTTCAAATATCATAGCTAATTAAGTTAAATTACAAAACAGACCTCTGTCAAAACTGGATAAGCCCCAAGCTTTGTGATAGCCTCAAAGACAAGAAACCCAAATAAATGGCCAGTAGACCAATTCCCAAAACCTTATCCAGCTTCATCTCCTTCTTTGGCAAAATCACTAGAGCCCAAACCAACCCCCCAATCATAAACCCTAGAATCTCAAACAATACTGGGGCCACAGGTATTACAAATGGCTCAGGATGCACAGCCCAAGCTGACACCACCAGTGACAACCCGAGACCGGCTAATGTATTGAATATTGGGCCAGCATAGCAGCCAGATATTGCAATCTGAGCCCCATCTTGCCCCCCATTCATTGCCATGGCCACATTTGCTATCAAATCTCCTATGGAGTTGCCCCATGCAAGGACAGTGAACCCTAAAATTGAAGGGCTTATCCCGAATATGTAGCCCAAAGAGACTAACAATCCTACAAGCTCTTCTGCTATGACGTATGTCCAAAGAACACTCATCAAGAAACCTCCTGCAAGCCATGGGAACAAGCACTTCCTCGGTGGATTATCCTTCATAGTTGTGTGCAAGGCCATCAAACCTATGACCAATCCTATCAAACCACTATAGAGACAAATGGTAAGACCCTCCTTTGAGCTCATTCCTCCTCTCTTCGAATTCCATAAAGTAGCGAGGAATATCGGCGCCAAGGCGGCAGAGGCCACCGCAAACGGCCTCGACCAGCGTTCCTCAGAGATATCCGGTATGGTCAATCTTCTCGGGAGATAGAGAGGGAGATCAATAAAGTAGAGAAGCCAACCAAGATAATGAGAGGCTGCCATCCATAGTTGGAGGAAGTTGGATGGGTTCTCAGGCGGATCAGGCTCAGAGGAGGGAGAGTTATTCTCTTTGGTGGAAGTAATCGGCTCGTTGAGCTCCTCAGCGTCAAGGATGGGGATAATGAGGCCATCATATTTCTCACGACAAAAATGGGTGGCAGAGACAATGGAGACGTAAACAAAGTAGAGGGAGGTGAAGGCCATAGAACCCCATATGGTCACCTTGCCGACGATGAGGATGGTGAGGAGGGACGAGAGGACGAAGATGAAGAAGCACACGTCACGAAGAAAACTCGCTCGATCAACACGGATAATAGCATTAGTAGTAGTGGTGGTAGATGGAGATACGCCGCCTCCAGCCCCTCTAGTGCTTTTGATGGCAGAGGGACTGCAAAGGTTAATGACACCAACGACAACACATGACACAAAGAATGCACCACCAAGTACGCTGCTTAATCCAACCTCACCAGAGCCCGAGCGAAATGACACAATGCTAGCAAACACGTCGGGCGAGCCATTTCCCAAGGAGAGGAGGGTGACGCCAGCGATGGTGGGAGAGAGGCGAAGGACCCTCGAGAGGTTCTCAACGGAGGAGCAGAAGTAATGAGAGGCAGTATTGCCCAAGAGATAGAAGAGGACCAGCAGCCAAGAGGCTAAAAGTGAGTAGCCTAATGCAGGATGCCTCCCACATGAGCAGTAGAAGATGTTGAGGTAGTTTAAATAACCTTGAGTGATGCAAGGGTGGTGCGTTTTGAGGTAAAGGCATTTGGAATGAGAGTCCTTTAGGTTTTGAAGACCAAAGCAGCCTGCACCTCTTGGTACTAAACCATGGCTGGTTGATGAGAGAGGGATGAAGGTGGTGGGAGATCGAATATGGGAGGTGAAGAAGAAGCATAGGAGGAGGAGGAAAGTAGTATTTATGACAACCTTGAAGTTGTTGGAGAGAGCAAAAGCCATTGGTAGAGGCCAGCTTCAAAACCCTAGCTGGCAATGGATGAAGAAGAAGTAAACTTGCAGCGGGATTGGCCCTAGCTCTAGAGTCATGGCTCTTGTGAAGAGATTTCGTTTCATGTCATACTTCTGCAAGCTAAGTGTGCAAAGTGTGTGCTTGTAAGTGTATGAGAGAGAGAGAAAGAGAGATGAGAGATATTAAGAGTTGCTAGTTAGAGCATGGTCGTGGTTTTACACTTTGCGAGACGCATTGTTTCGTGGTTCTTCTTTGGATTCCAAGGCTTTTATTAGGACAGTAAACAAGGGTGGGTTCGGCAAATTTGGAGGGTAGTAACAGGGATCAGCTACATGGTTTCTAACATAAAGAGTGGTTCATAGCTTGCCGGCCACCATGCACAAAGGTGGTGAAAAAGTCACTGGTGTAATTTGGTGTTGTGTGTTTATGTTATGGTAGCAAAAGAGAAACACGCATGCATGTTACATGAGAAGCGGAGCTCTAGCCTCGTAAATTTTTTAAAAAACGTTAACAGTAGGGGTTTGTTTTTGGAAGGACATGCAAAGGGAAGCTCGATGGAATTGCAGCATTGAAATAAAACCATGGTCAGTGTACGCACAAGGCACGCCACGCAATTCACTGTATACACAGCTAGTGAATCAATTGTACGTTGCATGGATTTCTGCATAACAATCGGGCTAATTATGAACGCGATCAGATAAGCTCAAATTAATGGAAGTTAGCATAATAATATTAACAATAATAAGGTCCAAGGAAAGATTGATGTTTGTGGTTGATAGTTTTGTTTAGAGCTTTTATTTCAGGTTTGAGAAATAAGAAGTTTGCGAGCTATTAACGTGCAGGAGGGATTGTTGGCACTTTTTAGCTATTGCTTTATGAAAGCTACTGAAACAAGCTACGTAGTTTTACGCGACTACTAAAATGAGTTCATCCACAACATGTATATGTAATGTGTGAGCCAAATTACCTTTCCATGCAAAATTGAGGTGGAACTGATATATATAAAATTCCGCCATTGCATTATAAAGAAATTATATTTTGGTCGACTCTGATCAATTATATTTTTCAAAAAAATAAAAATAAATAAACAAGAAACTTTAATCCCGCTATGTGGGTTGGCTGTATGAATATATCATTCTGAGCATCGTTATCTCTGCAACACTTAACTTAGTTTTATGCTTCTCTTTTAATAGCCAATATTTTGTGCCACAAAGCATTGTAGGGCTCACCACCATCTCATAAATTTTTCCTTAAATTTTAGGGGTATTTTTCTATCACACAACAAGCCCGATGCATTCCTCCACTTTTAACCTTCCAACTTAAACTATACTAATAATATCTCCATCTATTTCATCATCAATTTGAACAATAGGCTAGATATATCTAAAGTGTAACAACCCAAAAATAAAAAGTATTTTAAAAGATGAATTTTTGAATTTCTATTTGATCTGGAGCGCTTCGACATTACTTTTGAGAGTAAAATGGTTCCAAAAACTATCGTTGCAGCATTTGAATTATGTTGTATAGTAATGTGATTCTGCATACAACGCTACGGCACTGGGTCTGAGCGCTGCGGCGCAATACCACTAATAGTATTTTTTTATATATATTTAATTATAAATATCTATGATTTCACCCCACCGCCTCCCTCACTCTCGTTGCCTTGCCGGGGAAGAAACTGAAGGAGAAAAGAAAGAGAAGAGGGAAAGAAGAGAGAGGATCGGAAGCTCTCCAAGGTTTTTTGGCCGTTGCTTATAGAAAGTGTTCTGATCATTGTAACTATCATCTTCTTTATGCTATTGATGATTTTAATTTCTACTAATTTATCTCTCATAAATCTGTCAAAAAAACCTAATTTCGTAAGCTTTCATCGTACTTTTGATATGTTCTAGTTTTGATCATTATGAACGATTTGATATTATTTTATTCATTTCCACTAGTTAAATTTGTGCAAAGGAATTTCTCCGTGAAATGAGTAAGAAAATGTATACTGAAAAAGAGTTAAAAATTGATGTATTATGATTTGCAGTGGCGGAACCACTTGGTTCCTAGGGGGGGCAATTGCCCCCCTCACAAAAATTTTTTTTTTATAAGAGTAAAAAAAAAAATGTATAAGAGAGTAAAAAAAAAATTTTTTCCCCTCCTAAAATTTTTTTTACCCCCCCCTAAAAAACTTTTTTTTTCTAACTTGTCCTAAAATATCTATATATTTCTTCACATTTAGTTCTAATATTCTCTTTCATGCTTTTGATGACAATTTAATTACAATTTTATTTTCTTTATTTTTCTTGTTTAATTTTTTTTTTAAAAAAAATTCATAACATATAGACATATAATATTATTTTTTAAATATTTAATTATTTTTATGTTGTATTTCTCCCCCCCCCCTCAAAATTGAACCTGGTTCCGCCCCTGATGATTTGACATGATAATATGAAATGTATGATATGTTGAAATGATTGATATGAATTGTAATCTAATACTGATACTGATACATGATATTGATTTGACTGAAAGGATATATTGTATTGATATTGCTCTTATAAAAAATGATATACTAATTGTTATCAGATATACATGATATAATAACCTCACGTGATACCCTCAAAATTCACTGATGGGATCGGAGTCATAAGGAGCTGGAGATTGATAGAAGTTATAAGGAGTCGAGACGACTATCACATAATTCAAGAAGAGTTATAAGGAATATACTTATTGAGAGTCATAAGTGCATGAATAAGATCAATATATCCTATTATGAATATCATAATAATGTTATTGATACTATGACTATATTGAAACTGATCACTGTTACTGATTACTTGTTATTGATATTGATATTATATTGATACTTATATTGATATTAATACTGATGTCAATATTACTATTGATTTTGCTGATATTAATATTCATATAAAATATTGACATCATATACTATTACTGATTACTGTTATTATTGCTAATACAGATCATTATTACTGATATTATAACTAACACTGATATTATTTACTATCATTAATATTTTTTACTGTTATTAATACTATGACTAATGATGTAATGTATTGAGATGTAATGTGTTAAAGAAGGATAAATTAATATAGCTAATAGGTACAGTTAAAAGATATTGTTGGAATATAATTTTTCTTATATTATTTTAAGCATACTATCCTCTTTTCATTACATTGATTTTAATTATAAGATTTTTATTACTTGTTGGACTTTTATGCCCATTACGTGGCTTTACATGTTTACAGGGAAGGGTAAAAACCCTATGGCATGAGGTACTATACAACATGTGTAGTTTTCTTTCAGTAATACTAGCTTAGTTTTAAATACTAACTTTTCATAATTGAAGCTTAATTAAAAAAATGAACTTTTGATCACTTAATTAAATCATTAAAATATTCCATAAAATTCAAAAATTTTATAATTGATCTCAAATTCCAGAAAATATTAAATTGATGTTTAAAATACTCAACTAACCTCTTAATACACAACAACCACTCCTGAAATGAAATTTTTCGGTTGGACTACTCCGGACTACGGGGCTACGTGTCATAAGGAAGCTTTGTTCCTCACAGTTTGCAATAAATTTTGCATTCAATATCTATATATAATCATAAACCTGATCCTATAGCAAAGTAACCCTTACAATATTCTTCATGCCATTTCTTGTATGGTAATCAGTTGCAATGACCTTTTCTTGTACGGCACAATGAATATTCTTTTCATGATTTTTTACAATGATTTTTATTCATAGAAATGACTATGAGTCTAAATGGCCTTTCTTATATTTGTTTTTATCATTTAGATCAAATGATGGAGCTATAATTATACAATAGATTTTCTTATTAGTTTCTAGAAATAAATATCTATCGAGTTATAAAACTGTCCTTGGAAACTTTTGTACCGACTTACCAGTGTTAGAAATTGCAGCTGCATGTTATCAAGTTTATATGAAGCTGGAATTTTCAACTGTAATAATGCAAGTCAAAAAGAGAATTTCGGATTATTATTGCAGATATGGAAGAATGCTAATTATCTGTATTTTTTCCCTTAGTATAACTAGTTTTTAGGTTGTTACTTGCACGTCTATGGTGTTATGCAAAAAGAGGGACATTCTATCATAGCATGAGGTTCAATTTTTTGCCTAATACTGCACACGACTTCATATTGAATGCTTTAATGTAATATAGATGTATGATATTTACTAGTTGTTATGCCTTTGGTCAAGAGTGTAATACACAACTTTGGTCAAGAGTGTAATACGCAGCTGAAGAACCATGATTACAAAATACTAAGCCCAGATTATGGTTTGATTAGAAAGAAAAGAGGAAGACTATGTTGATATTATATTTACTTTACCCTTAACTGAAATTCTTCAAATTATACTTAAATGCTTAAATATTTTTCATTATTTAATAACTTGTTATTTTGAAGAGCTGCGTTATGCTTTTCCTGGTCTGTTGTGTCCTTTTATTTTCCATTTAAATTCTGCAATACACAATTTTTTTTGGGTCATTTTGAAATCATTTTACTTCACTCTATTGCAGGGACTCTATCCAGAATTCTGAATGCTTTCTACCTATCGGCTGCTCATTCATTTTTTGGTCTCCTGTGCTTATCACTTTGCTTGTGGCTGAATTAGAGGCTATCTGAGTGTAATTGTATGATATCCTTAATATGTTCTTGAACTTTTTTGCATATTGTGATATTGTTGATGGTAAATATGGCCACTGCAGATGATTATCATGATTTACATCCCTACAAGCTTATATAAGTTTGTTTGTTTTCTTTTTTCTTTTCATTTGATTTCTCCAATTGATTATCATGCCTCTTATGCTTCTTATTACTTATGTTTTGTCCTTAACGCAAAATAGCTTAAGGACAACCCATCAATTTCATATAATGTATCCTTTTTATGTTGATATTGTGGTTATTTTTTATTGCTTTGGTTTAGATTTTTTTAGCTTAAGTGCTTGGGCATGAG